GTTGAATCCTTTGTAACTATTAAGTTGATAATTGTATGTATTCTATTATGTGAAAGGACTCCAGGAAGATTAGTATACACAGCTTGTATAACTAATGGAGATTCCCAATAAACAAACAAACAAACAAATCGCGCTTTCTAAAATAACAAGCAACATCATGCAGGCACAGGAGGGACTGTAGTATAAGGTAAGGTCTTGTGTCATTCTAACTTCCCCTTCACGGTGCTTCCGTGTTGTACGTGTAGTGAGCCACCAGGTCTAATCCATTTTATCATGGTAATAACTACACATTACCTTGATTCTTGATGATGACAATATGACATCTAGCGTTTGGTCCAGCGGCTCCAAATATTTGCATCAACATCATTAGCATTTAAAGTACTGTTTTCGGTGTATGTTTGTGTTTGTTTGTTTGTTTGTTTGTTTGTTTGTGTGTGTCTGTGTGTGTGTGTGTGTGTGTGCGTGTGTGTGTGTATGTGTGTGTGTGTGTGTGTGTGTTTTATCGTGGGCCCTTTGTACTACGTCAGACAGTCTCTTTGCTCGTGCCATGCCAATGAGCTCACACAAACTGCGGGTTTGAAATCGCCGAATTTTTGTTTCTAACAAAAATCAAGATGTGTGCACGTTTGAAAACTGCGGTTTTAACCTTTCATGGTGAATCCACCGGTTGTGATTGAAGAACATGTCACAGATGTTACCGCTTCAATATCAGCACTTGCAACATTGTAATCTTTTCGATGTATCTTTCTCTGTATAGCCAGTATTACCGACCTGCCTTCGGCGTAACACACCAGCTTTGATTTGTATGATCATTCGTAATGACATCTCAAATATTGTAAACTTTGAAGTCCTCTTCATTTGAAGACCGTAAATTTAATCTGTACTAAACAGACGTCTAATGATTTGGTTTGATCAACAATCTCTTTCGTCTTTTAATGTGATGTTAGCGATGCTTTGGTGTTATAGAGGCACCGATACTGAGGGAAAACGATATTTTCTTGCGTTGGAAGACTACAGGCTTTAATTTCCGTTAACCGGAAGTTATATAGGAATCCAGGTTTCAGATCTTTCCGATCAAACCTGACAAGGTTTTTTTTTCTTGAGAGCTCCACCCCCGCCTAGTTAGAGTGGACCAGCTGTCGCCACCCCTGCTGTGATGACTTTTCAGCACCAAGGAAAGGGATATTCGCGTGTCTCAACTACAGTACCCAGAACCGTGCCTATCTAGTTCTATGCCTGAATTGGTTAGGTTTGGGATCAGGCACGGTTCTCTGCAGTCTCCGTGAAACTAAGAACGTATGGCGTAGATTTGCTCCAGGCACGATACGCGTGTCATGAGCAAGAGTCTGGATAACGCGCGATTCTGCACACAACATAAACCCATTTTAGGAAGCTGTTCTCAGAAAACTGTAGCATGTACCTGCAAAGTTTTTTTACACAAACAAAAATGTAGCTTAAAATGTTCCACCCGAAGAAAATTTCTCTGACATGTGTGCACTTCAAGTCGTCGCGATAATTAAATTAAATGTATAACGATGCATATCTCTGCCCTTTATTAGATTATGTGGCTATTTTTACTTCTGAACTCCAAGCAGCTTCAGTTTTACTGATGCCTGAACATTTGAAGTGTGCAAACCTCGGGGATTAGTGACGCTGCATTAGTTGATCCCTGAAAATTTACCTCAATGGACGTGGTGGTTTGAAAGTACCCGATGGAATATATTGCAGTTGACGTTATCTATAGATACACTCCTTATTGACGTAGCCTCCTTTTCAGGCGTTCCGGGATCGGTCGTTTTTTTGAGGGGGGGGGTATTTTCTGATCAAACGTACTTAGGAGATCGCACGCAATAGAACCTCTGGCTGGCAACCCTGCATAGCTCTCCCTGGAACCCGGAACGCCTGACAAGGAGGCTAGTATTGACGCATGTATCGCATCCATTCAACCTTATCGTTTTCCCTATATCGTGCAACTTGTCATTGCGGAATGTTGTCCCCTTCAAGGCCGGTGTGTGTGTTTCTGTGCGTGCCTGCCAGACCTAGACATTGATTATGTCGGGGAGACGTATGGACTGCGCGATAGTCGATAGATGGCGGTAAGAACTGAGATCAGCTGGAAGCGCATACGGGGGATTTGTCATATTGTATTTCACTCCCCAGGTCCCAGCCTTGGGTTCAGGTGGGAAATGTGTTGTTTTGCTGACGTTTCTTCTTCTTCTTATGTAATTTGGATTCAACTCTATCATTTTGAGTGAGTAAATATCCTCATAGATTTTCTTTGCTTTTTTTTTACCTAAATTTGATAGGGGATAGCGTTTGCCAAATACACTGGCATGGGGACGGGGAGTTTGGAATAGTCCATTTTGCACAGGGGTAACTTGGAAGGAGCCCATTGTTGCATGGGGAAAAATTGCATTTCAACGCACCCTAGCGCTCAAATGTACACGGCGTTTTATTGGTGATTTTATCAGTAAATTTTCATTAATTGTTCTTGCATTATCCTCTGTGAACTCTACACAGATTATTTGACAGGGTCAGAAGAGCTCTAGATGTCCGAAAACGCTTGGACTGCGATTCACTGAAATGAACACGAACACATTGAACAGCAAGTTCAGCACCAAGGACAGAACCCTTGCCTCTAGAACCTGAAATATGCTGGTCCGAGCTTGTATGTCCATTTGTCGTTGCTGTTTACAGCTACCATTGTCCATAATTTTATTCCCAGTAGCCTTTTAGACACTACTAAAGGAATTCATTCTTTCGGAAGACCTACCATTTATTATGCTTTTACTTGTATGTCTGTAGAGTTTTTGTATTATTTTAATGATGTATTGTACATGTATTATATGGGTTTTTACCTGAAATTAAGAATGAATGAAATGAATGAGAAACAATATCCTTTGCATATGTGTTCCATTTTCAGCACTAAGGCATCCTCCCATGGCAGGGGCAGCGGCTCCGAATTCCTTCTCCACCCCTTACCCCTGCCGAATAACCCCGCATCTTCTACTCTGCGACCCCAGGAATATTAATATTCATGAGCTTTCCTTATTTGGCATGACCCCATTTCTGACTTGGCCGCCGGCGACTCCGCCGCCGCCCGGTGATGAGCCCATTGGGGAGGCCGTGCGGGGCAAAGTCACCGAGCCGCCCCCTCTTTTCTCCGCGCCGACACCTTCCCCGTGCTCGGCGGGATCCGCGCGCAGCCTCCAGCACACGCTAGCGCCCCGCCGACGCCCGCAGCGGCCTGCATCGCAAAATTCTCTTCCCAAGACGACGCCATGTTTGTTTTTATTTGTCACTGAACAGCCGATGTAAGAGCCGACATGATTGGTTCCGATAGCTAGCGTAGCTCATAAATATTTAATGTAAAGTGCGTTGAAGATTTTCTCTGTGATACGTGATTGGCTGAGAGTGTGTCCCTGGAATTGGGTCGTAGAGTAGAAGATGCGGGGTTATTCGGCAGGGGTAAGGGGTGGAGAAGGAATTCGGAGCCGCTGCCCCTGCCATGGGAGGATGCACTAAGGACGGCACCATTGAAATAGCTGCATGCGTCCGCCGCCATGTTGGTGTCCCTATGACGTCACGTCGCCTGTTACTTGATAGGCTTTGATAGGCTCATCATTTATGCCGCCTGGACTCGGACTGAAAGCCAGTGGACAAAAATATCTCTGAGCAGGTCAAACGAGTCATACATCATTCATAGCGCCATAGTTCAAATTTCAAACGATACATTAGCCGCTCTCTGATTGGTGGGACCGATAATTGCCATGCTTTTTATTGGTTGAACTGAGAATGGTGATGTACAGCGAGTTAGGATCAATGTATTGATTGTGGCACGATTAGACCTCAATGATGAACCAGTTACGGAAATAGCCTGCCACACGTGTTACATTAAAGCACGGAACACATTCATTTCCGCTGTAGATCTTCACGTTACCTTATTTGGCGCTGTGCAGGATGAAAACACCCACAGAGGCAAAACTGGAAATCTAATTATAGTTCTTTGAAATTTGAAACACCAACTTTCATCATTCTGCCGCCAAAAATGGTGAACTTTAAGACATCTACTGAAGCACCAGTAATGCCCAATGTTTTATAGATATCCTGGTGTTAGATTAATGGATTAAGAAGGCACTTATAACATTTTATCTTCTTTGTGTCTATTTTAGAAAGTCTAAGGATAGCTCGCAAAATTATGCAAGTATATCAAGAAGGTTCTCTCACACACGAAATGATATTTGATTTTATTTCAATATCCAAGTAGTATACAGTGAAGTGGAATTTGTCTCAAACCCATTTATCAAGAGTTTTGAGATAATGCAGCATGACTAAGATTTGGATGAAGTTTACCATAAAACATTGTCTAAGGACACACCAATCTAATTTCTTACAATCTCATCATGTTCCAATTGTGAAATCATGGGTCACAAATATACAATTTTGGTCACTCAATGACCGCTCAGCTATAGCGCTGTAGTGATTGGGGACCTGAATAAAGCTACATCCATCAAAATGTACAACGAGATGCAACAACTGGTAACACATTTACTAACACAAAATTCTTATTATTGCTAGATTTAGTGATATGTGAAACACTAAAAACCTTTCAATTGTTCCTTCTCAAATTGCCATTGTAATAACAGCCTTCAGTAAGTAGAATGAATTCCACTACTACCTGCCACATAAAAAAAAATCTAAAGGCTTTTACTAATGTAGCATCAAGGTATGCACACTTCAGACATCCAGTTGTTCAACACATTTTTGAGAAGGCTTTGATAACACTGTCTTTCTGATGTGGCAGTCTTACGATACCCCGTGAAATCATGAGAGTTCATGTTTCAGTAGTACACAAATAAGGCACTTTAATGAGGTAAAACATTTTTAAAATTATTTAATGCACCAAAATGTTCCATTAAGTCCTTTAAGTAGCTGAATTGCACACACCACAAAAAATTCCACCAGCTTTTTGCTTATAATTTTTTTGCAAGAGGCTTAAGTACTATTCACACCAGACTAGGTCTAAAAGCTCCTGGCTTGCAACAGAGATTGGCTTTACAGCCTGCAGTACCAATAGTAATCCCTAGATGTCCTCGATGAGCGGTTTCTTGCTTCCACTAGTTTCCTGGTTAGGGGAGGAAGGTGCTGTAGGCTTGTCCGATGTCACCGCAAGCCTAAAGGAAGAAAAAATCATGGAATTTTGATAAATATATTCCAAGGACAGTTTTTTTTTCCACCAGACAAACGTCATTCCATTTGAAAGACTACTTTCCCGCCAGACAGCCGTTAAGGCATTTTTCCACTCCTTATTTCCACTCCGTATTTGACTCATATTTCTATGGTATGGTTTGAATTCATCAAATATGTTGGATCAAGAGCTGACAACCTATCTTTCTAACTAACATAACAGCTAGAGAGACTCAATAAACTACTCTATGTTCATCCGTGAATAGTTTCATCAGGTTGGTAAGTCACTGAGTAAAGAAGCTCTTTTTTACACAACCAAGTGTTTTATTCACAGCTGACGTTTCGGTGACCGTCTGTCACCTACCTCAGGACAATTCTGACTAGTTCACATTGCACTGCAGCACAGGTGTCGCTGCTATACTCTATGTTCAGTTCCCCATTTTTGGCGATGCCTCAGGGGTGAAGTCATTTTGTACTTACGTGTAGACCCACTGCTGTGCCAGGCAGGCGACCATCAGGAACCCTGAACAGCATTTGAAGATCAGACTCATCCCAAGGTTCTGCCAGAAAAAAGAACATAGCATGTAACATTAATAACAAAGTTAGCTTCATTTTCAACACAAAAATACTGATGACTAATCTCCAAGCAGATCTTTCAGTGGGGGTAAGACAGTATCAAATTTGTCAGTCTGTATCCATTTCCCCACCAAAATGGACACAGACTGACAAATTTGATACTGTCTTACCCCCACTGAAAGATCTGCTTGGAGATTAACTGATGACTAGTCTTTTTTTCAGCCATCTTTTACCATTTTCCTTCAATGGATATCATGTGTCACAAAAGGTCACCTATATTGGATCAATTAAATAGCAGAAAGTTCTGGCATTACAAAACAAGAAGATTTAAAAGAGAAGCACTTAGGGTTGAAGGTTACCTGGAGTAATATTGAAATGACGATCATGTTGAGGGGGATCCGGAAACAGTTGTAGACTGTAGCTCGAGCTGGAAGATAACATGTCAATAGAAGATGAACATTTATGTACTCAAAATGCAGGGCTCGAAATTCTTTTTTGGGAACAAGTGCACTGGTGCACCCAACTTAAAAAATTGGGTGCACCATATGAGATGAAGTAAGTTAGAATGTCAGCAAAAACTAATTATGTTTCATTTCTAAACAAAAGTACTATGACAAATTCAATGATTTTATTATTTTTCTGACACTTGGATGTTTTTAACTTGTTAACCAATGAAAATATTTGGGTACACTGGTGCACTTGCAGAAAAAAATTTGGTGCACAGCTCCAAATTTCACTGCACCCAAAATGTTTACCTGCATGTATAAAATCAGAAAAAAAAAGGACAAGTGAATCTGAGGACCAGGAAGTTGAATTGATGTGGTCTGGAATAAATTTAAACAGGTAAAAAAAACCTACTTTCTTCTGGGACATATTTTCCCTTCAGTGTGCTGAGAGCAGGCCAGAACATCCCCACACAGACTTCAAACGTCAGGAAACCCAGGAAGATAGGCACTTGTTGCTACAGGGAACAGAAAACAAATGTATTTAACATTGGACAAATTAAGTGGCTTAAAAGATACAGAGACAAAAGGCCAGAACTTTGGCAGAAACCAAGGTTTCTGTAGGTTTTTTCTAAACCTTATAATATAAAGCAACCAATAAAGTAACTTGATGGACCAAAAGCAACTTTTCAATCTTTTTTTGTGTGTGTTTACATGACAAATGGATTTTCCTACCCCTGGCATGAAGATGGGCACAGATAATGATAAGGCAGCAATGAAGAACACTGGTCTGTAATAAAAGAAAAGGAAACACAATGATACACCTACATGAATCAAGCTAACAGAACATGTAGATGGTGTCATAATTCTTGCATGAAATGCAACAACACCAAGGAAATCAGAGATGGCAGACTTCTCACCCTTACCCATTCACAATGGTTGTTAAGACGTACGTATTACCAAACGCATGGCCAAAAAAAAGTACTTATTGTATCTGTCACACCAACCTCATGAAAGACTCTGGTGTAGAAAACTTGCAGAGAATCTTGAACAGAGAGGATCCAATCATAACTGCAACCTGTGACAGAGAAATATATACAACAGGATGACTGTCAATTCATTTCAGTTTGCAGGGCTGGAATTTCACAGGCAGTCCTTTTTTCTAAAGGTTAGAAGAAATTTTTCTGTAAGTAGTAAAATCCTAATGTTTACCATGAAGTCAGCGAAGATCCAGCCGTGAGGAATAGTCTCCCTGGGTGTCTCCCCTGTTGTCTGTGAGGCCGGGGTGAGAGCAGGGGTCCACTCCAGGACAAACGTGTACATCGCTCCTTCAAACAGGGACTGGATCAGACCCAGGCACAGGATCTTCCTGTCTGTGGGGTAATGAAATAGAAGGGACTAGTGTAAGAGATGAAGTGCAGAGGGTGAGTTACAGTCGTGGAGTCGTGTGGTATAACGACAGATCGTTTGGACCAAGCGGTCCCGGGTTCGAATCCTGCCATGCCATCAATCTTGTATCCTTGGAAAAGGCACTTTACACGACTTTCCTGGATGGAGTCCTGGCAAACCCCATATCGTATTAGCCACAAAAAGGCAGCAGAATCTTCAGCTAGTGGAAGGCGGCTGCCTCAAAATGAAAGAAGAGAAGAGGTCAAACATGGCCAGCCAACCACCTGTTGCAGTTGACAAACCTCCATTCACAAGTGTTGTTAAAACAGTCCTGTGTGATTTTACATACTAGAGGCTAGACCCTTGGTTAAACCACCCGACTGGCATACTTAACATGCAAACACTCAACAACTGTCCACACTTCAGATATCCAGGTGTTCAAAACATTCTTGAAAAGGCCCCAGTAACGCCATTTTTAAAAAAATGTGGTGGTCTTAGGGTTGAATTATGAGAGCCAGAACAAATTTTAGCGTACCTTGTTTGATTGCTTTCAATGCGTTGACGAGCGACCGGCCCAGGTTGACGGAAGAGTCGCCGTAGTTTTCAGTCCAGGTGAAGACAGCGAGGATGCACATGATAACCAGCAGGACGGCAGAAACATCGAAAGGTGCACTGGACATAAAAAATCATTGTTGTCAAATACTGAAATGCTCTTACTAGTTTCTCACTGTAAAAAGACTGTAAAAAGGATGCACATCATATTACGTACGATCAAATATGTAAAAGTTGATTGTATAATTATTGTATACCACACATCCAACATTGACAAATTTAAGTAACAGAAAAAAGGAAAACCTTAACTTTGTTATCACAATGTTGAATTTCAGATTCAAGCTCTGAAGAGATGAAGTTTTACAAGTGGGTTTATAATTACATTTTGCTGACATTCTTCTTTTGATCATTTTATGCTGTGCACCCAATTTTTTTTTTCTGTGCAACTACATGTATTCCAAGAAATGAGTTTTGCCTTCAGGCTGTGTTTTCTGGCTTTGAAAGCATGTGGTTAAGTGTAGACTTCAGACGTCTGTACTTACAAGGTAGTTGTCTGTACTTACACAAATCCGAAGCGATCAGCGAACACCTGTGCCACGATACCGGCACTGATGGCCACCACGGAGTTCCCCAGCACGGCGAGAGAGAACATGCTCCCCAACAGGTCACGGTCAAATCCTCGCTGGGGGGAATCAACAGGGGCAAGGTGTCATTAGAATAGAATCAACTAGAAAGGTAACATTTGCAAAGCAAATTCATAACGCTTACCTTCAAGTATGTTCTGCTCTGTTAATTCTTATACATTCATATATATGGTCAGGCAGGAGTCTAAATCCCTCCTGCTATAAAATTGCAACATGTAACCCAACACTAGTTACCTTGGTGACAGATGTCTGGTTCAGGTCATTGAACTTATTGGTTTGGAGAAGACGAAGAAGAAGAAGTAGAAGAAGAAGAAAAAGAGGAAACAGCAAAAACAACATATTTTCCTTTGGTAAACATAATAACAAGAGTAGTAGTATAGAGTAGAATAGAACATGTTTTTACTACGCAAAACCTGTGAAATGGCTGCCGTTTGCAAGCATTTAAAATATCTTTCTCACATTAAAAAATGTTATCTGTGGGCAAAAATCTATGTCCTGATAGTAGTCAAAGGTCCATACATTGTATTTGCAGTGTGATTATTGTGGAGATGTCACCACAAAAACGTCAAATACATGTAAAACCACCATGAAGATTTGAAGATATACAGTAACTCACAGCTGTTTAAAGTTAAAACTTTTGATCCAACACAATAAAGTTCTCTCATCTAGAGCTTTTGACCAGTCACTCTGGTCTTCCTCAGTAGACTGACCCAGTGAGACTTGTCACGACTGGCTTTAGTTTAAAGGTATCTGGGAGACAAAGTCTACTGAGGAAAAACTGAGTGACTAGATGAGAGAATTCGAACTTTACTGTGTTGGATCAAAAGTTTTAACTCTAAACATGTATCTACCAACACAGATGAATTTCCATGATAGTAACTTACAGCATTGTGTTCACAGACCAGCCAGGAGTCAAAGGCACTGAACAGGATGGAGGTAGCCACGCCCCCCAGCAGCCGTCCAACCATCAGGATCCAGAAGTTGGCAAAGTGCTGGAAAAAAACATTAGGGAATCAGTTATGGCAGACTTCACCCCCTACTCATTCTTACCCTTTAGCGTGTTTCTTGTACATGTATCATAATCCACCAATACCAACCTGTTTCTGTTCATTTCATTGGTAGTAAAGTTACATGTGGTAGTGAAGATATACAGAACTTAGTAGTTCTCACCTTGGTAACACAGGCCAGGCTGTACAAGATACCATACAAGATGCAGTTGGTTCTACGTCCACTGTATAAATGAAAAAGAAATAATGTCAAATGAAGCAGGCAATTACTGAATATTGGATACCCATGTGTGCTGTCCTTGGTGCTGATCACCTTCATATGTGTTTTGTCTTTGATGCTGAACACCCTCCGTACAACAAATGTTGAGTACCTATGTGTACTATTCTTGGTGCTGAACACCTTCCCTACAACATAGAAAAAGGCGATATTAACATTTTGTAAAATAAAAGGTGCCCTAAAGTATTTGTGCCTCCAACATCCGATTACATTCAACCATAATGAAGACGTTTGCAGTTTGTACAAAATATACACAGCCTTCTGATGTTGGCAAACAATCGAACCTTACAAATCATGCTTCCTGTTCTTGATTCCTGCTTCCAGATAATTGAGTTAGGTTTTGTTGACCCTGGTGTCACAGTGAACACAGCAGCCAGTTCAGAACCTTTTGAAAAACTAAATCAAATTATCATGATTGAATAAAATTACTGTTCACTGAGGGGGAACAGTGGACAGCATCCCTCTCTTTTAGAACCCCTCTTTTAAGAAATTCAAGTAGTGTGCACATGCACTCGTGTTTTCAAGTTCAAGTAGTGTGAACTATGCACACTTAAAATCACCCAGGACTTTCTGCGCAGGACTCACATTTTGTCCGCAAAGGATCCGACGACAAGCTATCATATGATTGCTTTGTTTGCTTCTGAAAAGAACCTTTTGTAAGCTGCGACTGATTCCAAACTGGCTGCAATGTTCAGTGAGGGGGAACAGTGGACAGCGTTCCTCTCTTTTAGGACCCCTCTTTTAAGAAATTCAAGTAGTATGCAAGTCAGGTGAGCAAACAATAGCCGAGATTTGAACTCCCAACCATATGCATGGCAGGGGTGCTGATCACTGAACTATGCACACTTTAAAGAGGGCCTGCAAGGGGTGGTCCCGACAACACTCTACGCTGAATTCGGAAACCCTCGATTACGCTTTACAATAAATTCCAAGTGGCTACAACGCATTACGTAGAATTAAAACGGCAAATACGCTCTACGCAACATGCGAAGAGTGGTCCGTCTACGCTCTACGTAGAATTAAAACGGCCGATTACGCTCTACGGAAAAGGGCTTGCGGGCCCCCTTTAAACCACCCTGTTAAACCACCCTGGACTTTCTGCGCAGGACTCACATTTTATCCGCAAAGGATCCGACGACCGTCCCAAACACCATGCTGGAACCGAAGCCTGCGACAAACAGCTGTTCTATCTGGTGTGTGGTCATCCCATAACTCTGGTACAGCGCGTATACGTGTGGGCCCTGCATCCAGTCTCCAGCTATACACACAAAAACAAAATATAATGGTGTTTGTTAACAACTCATGATTTTAAACCATACACACAACAAAAAGCTTGCTACTCCGGGGAGCTTTCAAGACATCTCCTTTAGTTAGCAACCTGAAAGTCAGATGTCGTCTTGGAGTTCTCTTGTTACAATATTGACTTGATGTCCATGTTCAACGTACTGCATGATCGCCTCCCAAGCCCTTGCAAAATATGGTATATAGTTTCCCACTACATCAATACATTGTATAGTGCAACACTGCAACTACCATTATAATTTTCAATTTCTATACCAATTGCTCAAAAGTGAATGAAAGTATAATCAATGCGAATGAATCATTTATCAATAAAGCTGAACTCACCAGCCCCCAACAGGTAGACCACGAGGTAGGTTCTCTGGAATGACTGGAAGTTGCGATCCTCGACTGACGGAATCGCTGTGCGTGTGTACAGGAACAGCACCACGCAAATACCAACCAGCACGTAAAACGTTTCCACAAACACCATTTTGTCTTATATGATAATATAATTCACAACCAGAATAAAAATTAAGCCTCTTTTTTCAATAAAAAAATAAGTATCTTTTGCCAAAGTATCTTTAAATTTGATACACTGTCTCACGAAATTATATTTTGTAAAAAAAAAATAAACCCTTTAAATTTCCCCTGATGTGATTTGGTGACAGCAGTTGAAGTTTGTTAGGTAGCAGCTGGTTGGTGGCTGGTCATGTGACCTTCTTGTTGCTGATTGGTCAGAGCAAGATGGGTGATAGCATCAGCAGTTTCCGGGATGTTCCTGATAAAAAAAACAAGAATACTGTAAGTAGGACAAAATTCTCAATAAAGTGGTGTTTGCAGTGTGGCTAAGGTGATACCAAGCTTGTCAATCAACTGAGACCCAATATCCGCCCACCCACTACCAGACGCTTCATTACAACATCCTTCTAACTCTGGAACCAAAACATACACCTGCACTAAACCAATGCTGCCCCAAACAATACTCTGCCCAGGAAATATTGACAATAGTCATGTCATATAATATATTATTAAGTTTGCAGTTTGCAGTCACTTCTATACTACAAAAAAAATTTGGCAAAGTCCATGTACTGAATATTTTGAAAACATGCTTGTGGTGGTTTCCTTTTTGTAGTTTCCGTGGTGTCCTAACAACCATATGAATAATATTGTTTTCATTGTATTACAGTACACACACACTAAATGCACTACAGAATCAGTAACTCACAGTACTATAGCATGATTGTTTTATCAGTGAATTTGAAACAAAAACGACCTTTCCTCTTCTGCTATGAAATTTAAAGTCCCTGTGCAAATAACATGCATTTACAGTACATGTATTATCATACCACTCATCCTGTTGTTGGGTTATTAATTGTCAATTTTGTTTCACGTATAACTGATCTAGGATATGTAAATAGTGTGATCAAGGACATTATAATGTCCTTGTTGTTATCAAGCAAGCTATTCTGTGTCAAAATATAGCTTCAAAGTGCATTATTGAACGGTATAGGTGACAAATTGTTTGAAATTTTACTGAATATAAAAGATGAAAAATCTAAATATTATCATACATATGTATGAAAACAAATCTACTACTTGGCCAGGTGACGTGACCTTGCATTCTTTGTGGTTAAAGTTGTTGACTTGGAATCTAAGATAACAAGTAAACAGGTCTTCCCCAAGGTCACAACTTTGAGGCCTATTATATATTATTATAGGGATTTGAACCCAGAAGAACCTTTCTATTATATCAAGTCAACAATCCAAAACACAAGTCTTAGACCTTGCCACCTATATTTGTTCCCAGTGAGCTTTCAAAAATTGGTTTTTAATTTGTCCTCCAAGACTACACTTGTCTAATTGGTGACGACCTCTTTATCTTTTTGTTTGCTTGGAAAATTGTCTATAAGTAATAAGGCTAAGTCTAAATTATTCATGGGTCACTCAGCTGCATTTGTGGGCAAATCACAGGGCTCGAAATACCACCTGCATATGCAGGTTAGTGCAGGTAAAATTGGAACTGTGCAGGTATTTCTGATGTCTACCTGCACCTAACCTGCACTGGTCCATGTACTGGGTATATGCAGGTTAGTGCAGGTAAAATTGGAGCTGTGCAGGTATTTCTGATGTCTACCTGCACCTAACCTGCACTGGTCCATGTACTGGATATATGCAGGTTAGTGCAGGTAAAATTGGAGCTGTGCTGGTTTTTCTGATGTCTATCTGCACCTAACCTGCACTGGTCCAATTGTACTTGGAAATTCACTAAGGGAATAAATCTTCTTTACACGTTTACAACCAGAAAAATTTATACTACAGAAAAATAGCATTGCATAGTAATATAATAATAGTATCCTGTTGTGCTGCAGATTACAAAATAGTATCTGAAGGACATACAGTAGATTACTGTAAATTGTAAAATATTTGCAGCAGATTTTTTGCCACACAGCCTTTTACAGAGAAGTCCTCACACAGTGTACATATGTAATGTCAATATCATCGTTATATCATATGTAACGTTAACGTTAACTTACAGGGTATATATACTATTAGATTATTTAGGAAACAATATATTATTGTTGTTGTTGCAAGTCGCAAACCGATCTACCAACCTTGCCTGTCCCTGAAACTGGATGAAAATTCCGTAGACAGCTGGCGAAATTTGGAGACAATACAGCAATTCATAGGTTTGCTAGACAACTTATCAAGTAGGTCATAGAAAAATCAATAAAACAAATTCTAGAGAAATTTTAGTCGGGCGACGTTTCAGTAAACTATTTGGCTGGTGTTACAAGAACATATTTGGCAAGACAACTCACCTGTAGGTTGTATATAGGGACGTCAGATCGGCCGGGTTAGCTCACCTGGTCTGTGCGTTTGTGTTACCTGTCCTTCCGCAGGACAGACAGACACACCTGTTCTGTTCGTGTTTCCGGGTTCCGCCATGTTCTCATGACGTCACGGCTAACCTTTGCGCTGATTGGCTGACGGTCAGGTCGCGCGGGAAATACGACTAGACCGATTCTGTCTGCAGTTCACGATACTTCCGCAAGAGGGCCAGATGACATTCGGATGGTCAAAACTTAAATTTCAATACCCAATTGTCTCAACAATATACTAGTAGTAGGTCTATTAAAGGAGGTTAACCACTTTTTCAAATACCGCTTTACATAGATTTTTCCACGATCTCATATCTTCACCAGACTTTTAATTTATCTACGACTGATGAATTGTAAATTTTTGTTATTGATAATGGGTTACATTTTCAATAACACATTATCACAATATAACACATTATCACAACATAACATATTATCAATAATAAACATTTACTATTCATTGTAAATAACATAATTATTTGCACGATTTATATCAGTTGAACGTATTCTTCACCTAATGGCATAATTTTACAAGTATGATAGTATGACTATGATCTATGATGTGTAGTCTTTCTTGATACTCTTATCGGGATAAAAGATGTATCGCATGCACTTCAGCACCATACCGCAAGAGGGCCAGATACCGTTCGGACGGACTCCATTTTGCAGTACAAAATGTTCCCACAGATGGCAAAGATATATTAAGGAGCATTTTACGGGAGTGACAGGGCACATAACAGTGTACCAGTGCATGACTCGTCGAGTCTTTTATCAGGACGAAGATAAGAAGAAGTGTATTTTTGAGTGATTGCTGTGTTAGGAAGTGCGTTATCTATTTCCAATATTTGCGGACGTGTGTACGTGTACAACGCGTTTGGTCCTACTATCGTACAAACCGGAATCATCCTGTCTTTGTTTTCCGAATCTTGTCTGTTTTCATACGTTATCTGTGTGTAAGTTAAGTATATTGATAGAATAAGTTATGTGGCTGTCCACCGTTGCTGAAATAAATATATTTCATAGCATTGACTAGTTAATACCTTATTATATACATATAATACACACGATCATTCAGGTGTTCAAGACATTCCTTTAAGATCTTGAGAAACCCTCAGTAACACTGTCTAGTTTTCTTAATGTGGCGTTTTTGAGACTGGATACTTGGTGTAATTATGAGAGTTGACGTTATACCGTCCAAAATACGAGGAACTATAAAAATCACGGAAAATGGTACCGTATCTCTTAAATGTACTTTTCTGTCGGCCATTTTGTCCTCCGCTCATGGCCGGAGTCTCAGCGACCGTTGTTTTTCTATTCCTGACACAAATAAGCTTTATTCCGTCTGACCCTAAGACCAGGAGCTGATTTAACAACACAACATCCTCATGGAACAATGATACGGTAGATTAAAGTGTTCAGGTAACCACCATCTCCCGCGCTTTGTCATTAAAAAGTATCGATCCCAGTTCTTAGTGAACGAGAGCAAACTTGGCGGTTGATATCGGTGCTTACATTCCTCCCCACAGCCCGGGTTTCGGGGCGTCCCAAAACTTTTAATGTGCTATCAGGATGGACGATAGTTAATTTATGTTTGATTTCTATTTCATTGCAATACTCAGTTACTTCGTGGCAATTGTTTGCGGATTTCTGATAACCCCCCGGCTGGACAGAAATCTCGACAGCTCGGCGATAATTAATCACCGAGAGTTGATAAGAAATTTCTGCAATCAAGTAGCTAGAAAACAAGAAGTAGCTATAGGAGATATTTAGAGTTTTGGTGAATCTATCGTCACAATCGTCTAACGTACTACAACAGGCATAAGACAAAATACCCCCCTCCCTTCTTGCCACTGTACGTCATTCCAATATCTACGGAGTACGGACACACGACGATAACACACACAAGAAAATAATACCTCCATGGTACGTTCTGAAATAGATGCGTCCGGCCACAAGATAGCACTGTTACCAAATCCCACTCTCTTATTGGTTGAATCGTTAATTTTGATTGACAGCCAGGACAGTCTATAAGAATCATAACTCTGTAACTCTGAATTAAGGGACCAACATTATGTAGATCAACCAAATATTTATTGCTGACTATGTGTAAATGGAGACTATGAACATGTAATTAGATAGATCCGGCCAGTAGATATTAATTACAGTAATATTTACCAACGTTGCTACACACAGAAAGAATCTTCCATTTTTTATCTAAACGTTTAAGCATTTTCACAGACACTGAAAACGTAGAAAACGGAGACCGCTTACAAAATACAAGAAATTTGGTACAATCATAACAGATAAACAACTCGAAAAAGCTACTAATACTTAAGACACTAAAGCCCCGCCCTCAGAGCCTACAAAGAAGGATAAGGATGGGAAGCAATTAAATCCAGATCAGAGCTATTAAAACGACTAGACTTTACATAACCCTGCCATCTGTGTTCGGGTTATCATATGTTTATTTTATGAGTTTGATATTGTTCCTATCGCGCCTACAGAACAACAGGCGCACATAACAGCCCGGCGTGGTAACGCGTACATGTACATTAGTACGTACTGTGGGCGTGTGCTCGTTCTGCACTGACCAAGTTCAGAAGTCCAAGGTTTTTCCTAACACCACGGTCACGTCCGTCGTAAGACCGTCGTGCGATTTTGATGCCGCAGAGATTTTTAGAAACAACATCGACAAGGATATATTTAAGATAGTCTTTTTCGTCACAAGACAGTTGAGTTTTGTACTGCCCCTGCACGACTGTTCCAAGACTACCTTCAGTTTACGATCCTACGACAACCTTACGGCGAAAGTTGTTGAAACTGTTCTACCTGAGACACAAGGATGAGATCATAGCAATGACGATTTTGTTTTCTATGTTTGTCACTGATTGCAAACAGCCAAACGACCTGGTCTGTTGCTTTAAAAAAAAAAGAAATATCCACAATGTCAGTAGAGCTTGCAATGCTTCTTTATCCATGTATCGAGGAGAACCACACCTTGAGCATACATGGATAAAGAAGCATTGCAAGATTTCTACAGACACTCAGAATACAGAAAACCTATAACCAATCTATGTCAAACGGCTCTGCAAATGTGCAAAATACCACATGTATCGTATCACTGAGCTAACGATACTTTTTAAATGAAATATTGAACTAAACCTACTTTCAGAAACAAGAAGAACCATGTGATTTCTATCTCAGTCCCTTGAACTTTTACATCAGAAAAAAATTACCGTCCAAATCTTGCAACCACACTGTTAAGGTGAAGGCCACATTTGTCGCACGACACACAAATTGACGGCACGGAATTTAGGACATTCCTCGGGAATAGTCGTGGGTATGTCTTACAAAGTTCAGCTGTCTTGTGAGAGAAAAGATTGTCCTGGATTCTTGTCGCCGGTTGGTTCTGTCATACTCTGGACGACAAAAAAAGTTAAGTTGAATGTGGCTACGCCTTGATCGACCTGGTGTTTTATGACTCCAGGTCGTTCTTTACAACAAGTTATACGTTGAACATGCAGAAAAATGTAAGGAACTGTTTCACTGCGAATGGCCAGTTCATACTCTCTTTCACATATTGACACGCTGTAGGAATAGATGTATGGGAGAACTTGGAATTGCAGTTGAATCCAAAACATTGCTTGGCGAATTGGAGTTTTTTTATTGACTTCTTGTGGAGGCGAGAATACTTGCCGTGCCTGGTGACCCGGTGTAGCGGCACAATCGTATCTGATAAATCGGTCTAATTACCTGTTCATAGTGTCGCCGGCCACACCATTAACCAGCAGGATCGCTACATCCGTATTATAATGGTCACAGCAGGGATTTGCACGGTAATTTTTCAGATTTAAAGGTTTAAGGGAATGCGTTTGGAAACCACAGACTTCTACATGTTTCTGAGTGTAGATTTAGTTCAATATTTCATTTCAAAACCGTCGTTAGCTCTATAACATGGTACCTGTGATATCTTGCAGATTGGCACAGCCTTTTGGAATAAATCAATTAGGTTTTCTATATTCCAAGTGTCTGTAGAAATCTTGTAACGTTTGAATCAAAGACGGAAGATTCTTTCTGTACATAGAAACGTTGGTAATTATTTCAGTGCTATGAAGTGGCCGGATTTAGCTAATTACATGTTCATAGTCTCCCTGCACACATAATCAGCAATAAACATTTGGTAGATCCGCATAACATTGGTCTCTTAAGATTTAGGAGCTCATTATTCAATTTCTTGCAAGGCGAAGGGCAGAGTGCCGTGCTGGAAAAACCTTAACCGTACGATTCCTTTAGACCCTTCGGGTTGTCAATCAAAATCAACAATTCAGCCAATGAGAGAGTGAGATTTGGTCAGATGATCGTCAGGGGCGTGTCTATCAAACTTTCCTTGTTTTCTCTCCTTTATACGTCGGTGAAGGTTAGACATCCAGGTAATAAGATACGCAAAAAAAAACAGTTACTGAAGCAACTGGATATATGATTCTGTCTTCACTTATTTGCACATCAATCAATAGTTCGTGCTTATAAATTAAACCTGCCTTCCTCTTGCACGTCTCTAGCGTCACTGACGAAAGGTAACGATTAGTGGATACTAGCTGAAACGTCTGACCGTTTCCAAAATCATATCCAGTGGTTTGAGTAACTGATTTTTTTTTGCGTTTCTCTCTGACTTTGTGAAACAAGCTTAAGCGATTTGATTGGCCTGTCCTGGCGGTGGACAGACGGGTTGAATCACCAGCCTTGAAGAACCGGGAATTCCTTCCCTGCCTGGATACAGCAGGAATCCTGACTATTCTATCTGTTCGGATCTGTTTAATGACATGTTCATA